CGTCCGTGGCTGTTCTGATCCTTTCCCCGCTTGGCCCCATACAAAATGGCATCTCCTGAAGCAGCTGAGCCTCCCGAACCAGGAAGCAATGGATTTCTTGCTTCTGTCGCAAACTCCCCAGCTTTAAGTCTTCCAACCTTCCAAATATTCCCCTATATGTGGTTCAGAGTACTGGGACCATCCCCTGAGCCTTCTTGGTCTTGTATTCTGTGTTGTTCCTGGCAGAGCTAGTCACTGCACTTCCACCCAATCTGCCATCTTTTCCTGGAAGTCACCATGGCATTTTAAATAGCCTCATAAGTATGTTAAAGTTGACCATGAATAAAGAAGCCCAAATATTAGTTGTTTCAATTGAATTTTAATGTTGTAAAAGAGTATGGTCTTCCAGAAAAATAATAAAATCTGCCTGGAAGAAATACATCTAGAATCCTCTTAAGAATCAGAGGACAAGTCTATGTATTTCATACTTCAGCCATGTTATAAGGAGGGAAAATTCCATGAAGAAAGACATCATGCTTGGTAAAGTGGAGGGTCAGACTCCCACCAAGAAGGATTGACACAGAGGAAGCAACAATAGTCTCAAATATAGAAATTGTGAGGATGATTCAGGCCCAGGCTATGTTTTGTTTTGTTGTACAATGTTGCTATGAGTTAGAAATGACTCAATGGCACCTAACAGCAATAACAACAATAAAATAAGCATCCCTGCATCTTAATTTTCCCTATCATCTCTAAAGTCAGTGCAGTTGCCTTGTATTCAGGGTTTCTGACACACTCAGGATGTGGTTAGCACACTGTGTCTCTCGCACAGTAATACATGGCCGTGTCCTCAGAGCTCAGACTGCTTAGATCCATGTAGGCTGTGTTTGTGGACTTTTCACTGGTGATGGTGACTCTGCCCTGGAACTTCTGTGCGTAGTGTGTATTACCACTGCTTGGATAAATCCTTCCGATCCACTCAAACCCATGCCCAGGGATCTGACGCACCCAATGCATATAGTAGCTAGTGAAGGTGTATCCAGAAGTCTTGCAGGAGATCTTCACTGATGACCCAGGCTTCTTCAGTTCAGCTCCAGATTGTACCAGCTGGACCTGGGATTGGCCACCTACTAAGAGTAAATTGGGGTGGATGAAATTCAATGTGAATACCCAAAATGACTTCCCCATCCCTGGGATTGGGAGCCATTTTACCTGTAGTTGCTGCAACCAACAAGATGACTCTCAAAGTCCAGTTCATGGTTAGACAGCTGTTATCCCAGAACTTGTAATGGACAGTGGTGTGGTTGTTGGTTGGGCTCTAGGAACACAGATATATCCTTATCTGATGTAGTAAACTTCAGATTATTTACATATTTATGAGGCAGAATATTTAAGACTTAGGCATGTCACCCATCTGAGGAACATATTTATTTTTTGATGATTTACATGACACACAGTCAAACAAGCAAGGAATGCTAAAGATGCAAATCATGGGGGTTTGCATTATTCAAGTCCAAATTGAGAACTTGGATTTTCTACCACATTCTGAAACTCTGGGTGTGTGACACCACTCACACTGAGGAATACAGTGTAGCAGAAAAACCATGCTGCTCTTTGTGTCATTTCTTATTCTGTCTGAAGACAGGATTAAATAAGATTTACAGGTAGGAAATCAAGGTTTGTCTTTAGATATGATACGATTACATTTCACTTGGATTGTTAGAGTGAAATTATGTTTTTGTTGTCCTACCTGTTGTCAAGTCAGCTCCAACTCACAGTTACTTTAGGTACAAGAGATCAAAACACTATTGGGTCCTGTGCAAACCTCACATTCTTATTTTTGAACCACTGTATCAATTTATCTTATTGAGATTTACATATGGCCTGCAGAAAAAAAGACTTATACTAAATCATTTATTATAAGCCCACATTTTAATAAAAGAGATTTCATAATAGTTGTGTGTGGAAATAACGGGCCCTTGAATATGGAGAAAGGCAATAGAGTCTCTCAAGTATATATTTCAAACTCAAAAATAAAGAAAATACTTGATGTTAAACTGGTATTTTTTATGGGTCAATGTGAAAATTCCATTTAAATATAAGTTCCTCAGAACTTCTCATTACAGTTGATAAGTCACACATACTTTGGGTAATACATTTTAGCTTTTGGACAATAACTCGCCTGTTTGTCATCTAAAGTTGGCATGAAAATTTAAACCTTAATGAGGGTTGGAGAACTTGTGGGAAGCACCAGAAGAACAGTTTTAGCTTTAAAACTTAGTGCAAAAAAGAATATTTCCTGCTTATCCCTAAGAGGATACTCACTAGCCTTCAGGAAACTGCTACCAAACTCCCTACATCTGCTCCATATTTTCAATAGTTTCTTAGTGCCCTCTGCAGGCCAGAGAACTCTTTGCAGGGTAACTCATTGCCTATGCTCACATTGCCTTCTCTGTCTTGGTCTCTCACAGTAATTTATTGCCAAGTTCTCAGCTCTCATGCTGATCATTTCTAAATGGAAATTAGTGCTCTTTTTGGCGATTCTGCAGAGATTGAGGGTGGACAACTGGCTGTGGTGGTTTTCACATAGATGGAGATATGGACCAGCTATTCCAGGTATGTGTTCATCTTCCTCTTCTTCAGAACATGATTAACGTAGACCACTTTGATGCAGATTAGCACAGTGCTATAATGAGAGTAGGTGACACCCAGGGTTGAAATTAATGAAAAACATATTGGATTGGAAGAATAAACTGGATTCACCACACTCCTGTGTCTTAATGCCTTGTGAAGTTTATTTCATTCCTGTATAGTCTAGCTATTGTCTTATGTTGTTGATGTTGTTGTTAAGTGCAGTTAAGTCGGTTCCGAACCATGGCAACCCTGTACAGGATTTCCGAGGCTGTAAATCTTTACGGGAGCAGAACGCCTCATCTTTCTCCCATGGAGCGGCTGGTAGTTTCGAACTGCTGACCTTAAGGTTCACAGCCTGATTCATAACCACTACACTACCAGAGCTCCTTATTGTCTTCTGTAAACAAAAAAATAATAATAATTCCCATGAATAAGTCATTGATAATGCAAAATTCTACATGAAATATCTGGTATATTTCTTATTACAAACATTGTATTTTCCAGTTATTCTTTCTTACCAAATTTTGAAGTCTAATCACAAAGAATTATCACAAATTCTTACCACACATTTGATCAACTTTAGATTGTAAAATAGTTTGTTAAAACTTCAACTTATCTTTGACTTTCAGTTTTGTGTGTAATTTCTGTACCAGTGATATTTACTCTTCCTTCCATGTATATAATAACCTATCACTCCTAACATTATACTTCAGGTTACATCAGGAAATGTTGTTTTGTATGCTGAATATAATACTCTCATTCTTTCATTTGTCATTTCAATCACAGCAAGCCAATGGATTTGAATTTAAAATGGTCAACAATTCTCCATTTCGGTTTACTTATGCCTAAGATAAGGTCTGGTAGCGTAGTGGTTACGAATCGGGCTGCGAACTTTAAGGTCAGCAGTTCAAAACTACCAGCCGCTCCTCGAGAGAAAGATGAGGCTTTCTACTCCTGTAAAAATTTACACCCTCAGAAACCCTCTACAGGGTCGCTATGGGTCGAAACCGACTCGACAGCACTTAACAACAACAACAACAAGATAAGGTCACTTACGCTGCCTAAGGTAAGCAGTTCAAAACTACCAGCCGCTCCATGGGAGAAAGACGAGGCTTTCTGCTCCCATAAAGATTTACAGCCTTGGAAATCCTGTTCAGGGTCGCTATGGGTCGGAACCGACTCTACAGCACTTAACAACAACAAAAAGATATCAACTTAAGCATTCCATTTATTTTTGACAACTTTCTATTTTATTTGAATCATTCATTGTATATCCCATATTCCAGTTATTAGTTGACATTTTCAACAGTCTCTTATTTTATTTATGTTCTTATTAGCTTTAGTTTTGAAGTGAATTATGGTTTACTGAGGAAATCAATTTACCATTCAGCATTTCATTCACATTTTCTTTCATCATTGATTACAATCCCCATAATGCAATATCACTTAGCCTACTTTCTCTCTGTTTCCTATTAAAAATCCTACTTCTTTCCTACCCTTTACTCCCTTATAAACAGTGTCCTTGAAAAAATAGTTGTTTTGATCTCATCTTTACATCTCTAGTGTTATTATTCACCTATTGTTGTTGTTATTAAGTACCGTTGAGTCGATTCTAAACCAGAGCAACCCTGTATAGGGTTTCTGAGGAGCAGCTGGTGAGGTTGAATTGCCGACCTTGCAGTTCAAACGGCTTTGCTGTCTGGCACATTAACCCACCATGCCACACCATTACTCTTTAGCTGAAATTTGAATGACAGGGTAAATTCCATTTCAGTCATAAAACTTGACTGAGGGCCGCAGAATCACCAGTCTTTATTCAGCCAGAAAGATTGGTCTTTTTTTATGATATAGAATTTAATTCCACATTTTCTCCGACTATATCATGGATGTCTTAATGCCAGCCATTCAGAGCAGTCAGTGGAAACTGGGCACTAGTTAGTACTTCTGGTCTCTGAAACTATATTAGTTCATTGGACTAGTTATTTCCAAATGTCTTCCATTCACTTCATTTGTCTTTTTGCTTAATGAAAATAGACATATATATATACTTTAGATGGTCATTGAAAAGACAAGGCTTTTTAATCAAGAGATAATGTCCTTCTTAATCTCTTATACTGGTTTTCTACATAAAGTTTATTTTATCAGAGATTAGTATTGCCTCTCCTGCTCATTTTGTTTACAATTAGCTTTGGAATGTATATATTTTTTCCATCCTCTAACTTTTAATCAACTTTTGTCTTTGTGTGTAAGTTGTATCTCTTGAAGACAGCACATTGAAGGATCTTGTTTTCTGATCCATTCTGTCATTCTCTGTCTCTTAACTGGTTAATTTAATCCATGGATATTCCATGAAATTATTGATACATATGAATTAATTGTTGTCATTCTGTTTGGGTTCTTTCTTTGATACTGCTTGTGCCTTTTTTTTTTACATGCCTTCTTGTGCTGAGTTCATGTTCTTTGTGTTCCTTTTTGTCACTTTATTCAAGTTTTAATGTTCCTATGTTAAGGAGCTCTGGTAGCATAGTTGTTATGAATCAATTTGTGAACTGCAATGTCAGCAGTTCAAAACTACCCGTTGTTCCTTGTGAGAAAGATGAGGCTTTCTGCTCCTGTAAAGATTTATAGCCTCGGAAACCTTGTTCATAGTCGCTATGAGTTGGAACCAACTCCATGGCATATCACCACTACCACAATATTATTCTTGTATTTTCATTTTTTCAGTATGTTTTGAAGTATTAATTTTCTTTGAGGTTACCCTGAATTATATTAACTTTTTCCTCCATTTAAAACAGTTTGTTTTATCCTGTAATAGCAATCTGGATATTTGTGTGTATATTTTTATGCTCTTGCACATTGTAATTATTTTGATTATAGACTGACTTCCCAGAACCTCTGAATTTGTTCTTTTTTTCTTCTTCTTTAAGTTTTTATTGTGAATTTACTTGTAGTTTACATGGGAGAACATCAGCTTTACATTAATCCTATCATATTTCATTTTATTGCAATGATGACAATCCCCTCATGCATCATCAGATGACCAAACAGTATATCATACAAGGTTTCCACCCAGCCATCAGCACACAGCCCCTCTCCATCCCTGAGCCCAGAGTCCACAGTCACTCCATCTCTCCACGTCATCATCTCTGCCACAATCTCTGGTGTGACTTGTTCTCTGGATAGTGTCCCGCACTCTGCTCTTTTCCGTAGATGGTCCCAGGGTCCTTCATTCCCAGACTGAAAAATTAAACACTCCCATCTTTTTGTTAAAAAAAAAACATCTACTTTTACATTTCCAACACTCACAGTGAGTCCAGATAGCAATTATTCACTATTGAACCACAATAATCTTATCTCCATCTCCTTTCACCAACTCCATCTAGACAGGTTGAAAACAGCTCAGTGGAGATTCTACTTCCTCTGCACCCTCTGAAACTAGGCTCCCTCTTGAACGTTTGTAATCCAGTCACTTATTGCCTTTGTAGTCCCCCATTTTGGGTTGCCTATGTCAACCCTGATTACCGAGGTCATGGTAGTGATGCTCTGTATAAACATTTGTTCCCTCGTTTGAGCTACTACATTCATAAGTATAGAACAAGTTCATCAAATTGTAGCAGCTGACTT